GAGCAAACTAAGTATGTTAAAGAGATTTCAAGTGTGATTCAAGCTGCTTACTGATTAACACTTCAGCATATAACACTCCTCATAGACCTGTGTGGTTATTGTTCGAAAGGGAAACAAGACTCTTTTAGCAAAAGGAGACAAATTATCCTCCCTGACCAGTTCTCACACAGCTTAGCAGCACTGGAACCGCTTCTTCTTCCAGAGTCTCTGGTGTGAAAATAAAATGAAATCCCAAGATTTGATGCCTGTCAACTATTTCCAGGATATGTAAGAGCCTTACAGAAAACATACTCATCTTACACATGAACATTAGCTAACTGACTCATTTTATCAGAAAAAAAAAATTACAGTCACATTTGCAAGAAAATGGAAAATAAAATACATAATGCTCTTTCATGTCAAGGAACAAACTTAACACTGCAGGAACCTCAGAAATGGAAGATGATAGTTGTATTTTCAACGGCCTTGGAAAAGGAGAACGAAAGGAGTCCATGACTATCTGCACAAGTTTCTGCATTACTTACTGGACTGTCCTATCTGGGGGGCAAATGTCCAGATTTGCTTCTTCAAGTCAAGCCTTCACAACTATAACACAGTCTTCATTACATACTCACGTGCTGACTACACTGGTTTTAGTTAGAAGAGTCAAGGCAGAATAAAAGGCCAGACTGGTTTTAAGGCTTGAACTCCCCATGCATGTAGCGTCACCTGCTGCCAGGGAGAACTGGAGACATATGGAGATGGCTACAGCCCTCATGACTGAGAGGTGCTCTCTGTGTTGAAAATCCTGCCAGATATACCAGTTCAAGTCACAATCACAGTAAGACCAAAAACCAGGCTGACAGGCTGCCTCTCCCTGCCCCATGTCCCTGTTGGACCTCTCCATCAGGTGATGGAGGTACACAGTGGCTGGAGGTGCAGGAGCTGCATCAATGACACTAACAGCACCTCAGCACAGCCTTTGGTCACAGTAGAAATTCTCCATCAGTTAAATCCAGGCTGCTTTAAGACTACAATATATTGTATTACCACTCATAAACTTTGAATGAATGGTCCATAAGCATGTTAAGTATGATCTCGGTGATTCAGATCAAAGATCCAACTCCCCCAGCAGGATCCTCCCTCCTGTAGTGTTCACCAATAATGCTGAAGGCAAAATAGAAGGTGACCTCCCTAACGAGAGGGCACGATCTTAAGGTCTGCCAGGGGAAGTTCAGGTTGGATAGTAGGAAGAAATTTTTCCAGAGAGAGTAATCAGACACTGGAATGGGCTGCCTAGGGAGGTGGTGGAGTCACCATCCCTGGAGGTTTTCAAGATGAGACTGGATGTGGCACTTAGTGCCACGGTCTAGCAACCACAGCAGTGTTGGATCAAGGGTTGGACTTGATGATCTCAGAGGTCTTTTCCAACCCAGTTGATTCTATGATTGTATTCTATGATTCAATGAACTATTCCCACAGCCACCTCCTGCAACTATCTACAACAGCAGAGATATGTTTATCTTTAATACCTCTTGATGAACTTCGAAAACATATTTTCAGCAACTGAGTATGAGAAAACAGTAGGAGTGTTAAAGATATTGGTCCTTTCAGAAAATGTGCTGTTTTCAAAAAGACTTGGGATTTTTATTACTACGTGAGACATGAGAACACTCAGGATATGTTTGAACATGGTCCACCTCACACTTGCAAGTCCATTGTCTGGACATAGGAATGAATGAGAAAAGCAGTAAGAATAGCTACTAGGTTTTCTAGAAAACAAAAATACTATTCAGATGTGCATAAAGTGCAGATATGCCGGTACTAAATCCTTGAGTATGTAACTTTTGGACATCAGTACACTTAGATCACAGTTCTAATTTGAGCTCATTGAAATTTACACACCTTAAAAAAAGTTACCTTTTCATAGACTGTTCAGTAAAAAGCTGGCTTTTAAAAATTATGTTATTTTTCATTAGGATAGTTCTGTTAAAAGATTTGCATTGACGAGTTCTGTGTTGAAGACCAGTGCGGGTCAGGTCATGGTCTTGCGTCTCCCTTTACCGTTCTCATCCTTTCCCTCATTTTGCTCATTCCTGTTTGATGTCTCTCTAGCTCACTTTCAACTCAGTAGATGTTGTCAGTAAAGATATCTTTCTAGGCCTGAATAAATCTAAAAAGTGTGAAACTAATTATTCACAAAAAGTGGCCACATGCCAACATCAAACAAAATGAAAGACCACAGATTTCCAATGACAAATACATGTAGTATTATGCCTGTATTTTGCATCTAATTTCTATGTGAAAATATCTAATACAGGTACACAAAAGTCCACACACCTAGCAAAAAAAAAATTTAAAAAATCACTGTCCTAACATATTTTTCTGTACTGGAAAAAAAATCCGTCATTATACTATTTACTTTTTCACTGTATTATAAAGCATATTATACCATCACTACCACACAGGAGATAAAGTAACTGAAGTAAGAGATGTACACCATCACATGTTCACACTCGCTTTTTTTTCTCCATACACAGAAAAGTAACAGTTTATCTAACTGTGACATAAGTGGCATCCTCTCTTAAAAAAACATCTCCTTTCAAAGCTTTGTAACATTATAAAAGATAAAGAAAGTCTTCAAGTAAAGTAAAGACTCTGGGCCTGTTGTGGTTACTGCAGATTACTGTTCTCTTGTGCATTCAGCATCACCTCTGTAAAAAACAAAGCACACAGTTGGATTGCCCCAAAATATTCTGTTCTTTCCTCTATCCCAAACTGAAGCACCTGTTTGTTTCGTTGTTTTTTTTTTTTTAACTGTTTTATCCATTATAGAAAGAATGCAGAGAAACTATTCCAAACCACCAATTTACCAATTTTGGGGTGTATCTTGGTGTTTTTACTATGCCCTGTGTTTTAAAGTAAAAACAAACAAAAAAAGCAACCAATCCCCCCCCCCAAAAAAAAAACCAAAAAATCAAAACAACAAAAAACAACTTTGAATACTGCAAACCTCTGTAACTGATACTGAGATAACTGTAAAACTGTTGTCTTCTTGGGATGAAGGTTTAACAATAAGTACTTATAAAAAAGAATTTCCCTCCATTTGCCAACCACTAGAAAAGGAGAAAACACGAAAAATGTGCACAAGCATAAACTACATGAGTAGTTTTAGAAGGTTTACAGTCTTATTTACATGCATGCTATAATTTATACAGCATAGCAAGGTTCAAAGTCTTAGAAAATTAACTGGACATGACCAAGTAAGACTTAGTTCTTCCATAGTGGATATGTTCCCAGCCTGCATAATCTTCAACTTTGTAAGTGGTCCTGCTACTAATAATCTTGAAGCATGAGGAATTAATAACCTAAATACATAGAAACACGGAATCAGACGTCCGTCATTTCTGAAGTCTGCAGTATTTTACCTAATCAGCGCTGTTTATACATGGCTTACCAGCCAGCCCTTAATGCCAGCCCTTCAGCTACCTCACAAAACAGCAGACTACTTTACATATGTGCGGGCTACTCAGGTCAAGAAGGAAAGACAGAAATGACAGCATCTAGGAACAGATCAATCAGGTAAAGCAGATCAAAATCCCAGATCAAAATCCCCAAACCAGAATCACAGAATATGCCTAGTTGGAAGGGACCCATAAGGATCCTTAAGTTCAACACCTGGCCGTGCACAGGACAATCCCCAAGTCACCTTGTCATAGATCACTGAACTAGCTGATGCGCTCTTTACCTTCTCATGCTGCTCTGCAACACATACTGTACGTGGATTAGCTGTTATACAAGGCTACTTTAGAGATCTCAGCATGGATTTTCAGTTTTTAGGCATGTAATTTTCAAGACAGCAGGAATCAGGCTCTACCTGTAGTGAAAGAGAGAGAGAAAAGTTCCTCCGAAACTATCATGTTAAGATCTACCTCTTTTCATGTATATGCTGAGAATTACATGCCATTGCCCCCACTTTGAGCAACACATCAGTGATCTCAGAGGTCATTCGATGAATATGCATTACCACTGGTCTGACTCAGCAGAGTACTCAACCATGAAGTTAACTTTCAACTTGTTCTGAAATGGTACTGGTTTCATGCCTGCAAGCCTTGCTGAAGTGGGATGGACTTCCTAAGTTGTCAAAGGCAAGTAGTGAAGAAAAACAGAAAATGGAGAGAAGCAATACATTTGGAGTAAAATGGGAAATATCTGTCTCCTTTTCTCCACTTTTACTTGGATATCAACACAAGTGTTTGGGGGTTTTTAGTATTTTAAACCGTTTCATTCTTTTCTATTCATTACATTCTCATGTCTACATAGATTCAGTTTTGAAATGATGATACCAAAACTCCTCCAAAGGAATATCCCCATCTCCAGAATAACCAGAGTCAAGAAGTATTGTAAACTTAAATGTTCCATTTTGACTTCTAAGACCCAAGAGCAGACAGTCAGTACCTTCTCATCTGATGCACAAGCACTCACTCACAGAGAACCACAGAACCTCCAAATTTTGTGAGGGTTATGCATCATTGATTTCTACAGCATGAACAGTGGTTCCAAAGTGTTCTACAGCTTGTCCAGCCTAGACACACTAAAAACCCATGACTACTGCTGCTTTTATCAGTAAGAAGCTGTTAGGCACCAGTGGAAAGCTGTGTTCATGCATCCAAGGAGTATTCCTGATAGGACTCACAAAACTCTTGTGCTGCAAAACATAAAATTACTCCCTGGATTTGCTGAATCAAAAGGTTAGGTTACCAAAGCAAAGACAAACTACACTGTTTATAAGGAACCTTAGGGCAACTCAGCAATTCTGAGCAACTGCTTTGTAATAAAAAGTCCCTGGGCATAATCAAATGATGAATTACTTTTGTGGAAAATAACAAAACATCTTGTTGGAGTGTCTCTTCTTTTGTAGGAAAGAGTGGTAAAGAAGAGGATTCCATCTACTTAAACTAACACCACCTGGGGATGTGCTACTGTGCTATTACTGATGGCAATAGAAAAATGAGTTTTACCTTCACCTCTGCATGGGGAAAAAGTATCTCCAAATTCTTGCTGTTTTGGCTTCAAAAACAGTGGGGCTGAAGTCCTGGGGGCTGTGGGACTTGTAATAAGGGTTTCTCATTTGTAACCACTTGTTTCTTGGGACTTAGGGCAGGAAAGTAAACAGTATTGTCGATGTTGCTCTCAGGAGCAACCTTGGAGGTGCCCTCCTCCCAGGGGCACCTTTAAGTGCAGGCTGGCAGACAAGTTTCCAACAGCTAGGCTTTCAGTGCTGCTATTTGAAGACAAGCAGGGTGTTCCTACATGAATTCCGACAGGTGAGTTCTGCTGTCCAAATGGGTCATCCTAGGTCCATGAGGAATACCTGTTGTCCAATGGCTCATACTATATGACCTCCCATTCCTTTTTAAGTTAATGTAATCAAAGTGTGTTTTTACAGACCCTCAGCTATGATTAATATCAATCCAAATTCAGTAAGGAATTCACTGTGTATTACACTTGCTTAAAAAACACCTAAATAAAAATTTTATTGCAGTAATAGATGAAAGAGGACTGCACGTGACTGTTAACTTCGTGACTTTATGGGTTACAAGAAACAAAGTACAAGCTCTATATGGTCTGCTGGGGAGAAAGAACAGAGCCAAGCAATGACTTAGAGCTCTAACACAGAGAAAACCTGCCTCATCAAAAGCTGAAGTTTGCAATAAGGTCAACTGCCTCCACATTAGCTAAATCAGCCATGAAATTAGGTGCATGCTGACCAAGTACAAGGAGGCAGCTGGGACTGGAAGGACTCTCTGACAGGGAGTTGTCATTAGGATGAGCACAGCTGCCTCTTTTTTTGCCCTCTCCCCAGTCCATGCTGAAAAGCACACGCAGTAGTAGGGAAGCACCATGCAGATACTGACAAAACAGGAAAAACAGCAGTTCACATTCTAAAGGATATGTATACAACAATATGAAGAGGAAAAAGCAAAAGCACTGAAGAAGCACAAAACAAAAGACTTGTGGTCCCTCAAACTCCGGGGCACTTCACAAGTACTGCAAGAAAGCATAGCACAGAAGCATTCATAAACACAACTGCAATCATTTCAAAAGTGGACTATTATTATAAGCCTATAGATATACCATATTTATATGGTACAGGTGAAATGTAATCATATAGTGGTAGATTTTCAAGGACATCTTTTAAAATATACCAAAAATTTTCAAACCCTGACTTTTCATCACTTACGTTTTCCTACTATTTAAATCTTAGAAGACAAGACTGTAAGGGGTTCAAGAAATCATTTCAGTCACAACCTACCCCAAGGCAGAATCAACTAGATCTAAACATTTCCTGACATAAAAAAAGATTTGTAAACAAAAGCTGCACTTGTCAGCGTAAGTCACTGGACTAAGATACCATGCAGTTGGGGTAACTTCAGCCCTAATTCAGCTGAACAGCTCGTGCCCAATTTTCATCACCAGTTGCATCTGTTTAACATTAAGCACACGCTTAAGTAATTTGTTCAATCATACACTCAGTGCCTAATTAACTTGTTCAGACAAACAAGCTGACAGAAACAAAACCAAAGTATGGCATCAGTTATGTTTTTAATTCATCTATATATTAAAGTTTTAATTATTATGATCTTGCTGCAGTAAAATGCTGAACCATAACTTTTACACTCAGCACATGAGATTTTCAACACTGAAGCCAGTAAAATTCCAACCAGTATATTCATGACTGAATTTAATGTAAAACCCTCATATTAACTCTTTGCTTACTATACTCTGAAACGTCTCAATTTTTTTCCATCTGTGCACTGTCAAAAACCTCAAACAAAACATCCCTGTTTATTTCACAAACCTGTATTCATAGCACACTTCCAGATTAAAAGCCATCTAAGTGTCTCTAGAGACATCTATGCATAGATATTCACACACACCTTCCAGTTAAGAACTCACTAAAAATGGAAGGCCTAAGCATGTTATCTTCAAAGGCAAAAGCAAACTCCCTACTGATATAAATAAGAGAGATATGCCTTAACCACACTTAAATGGTCATAAAAGATTTAGTCTACATACTATATTTATTGTTATATTTTTATATTGTGGGAATAAAAATTGTAAAGCACATCAATAAAAAGTAATATTATTTTTCTTCATGCCTGACTGAAGTATAAATCACTCTCTCCAATTCAAACAAGGAAAAGGAGAGCTGAATTCTCAGAGTTTATTTTAAAAGTAGAATGTACTATGCCTTAACACAGGTGATTAGATCCTTAGAAAAGGACATATTAAAAAAAGGCAATTGTTCTGCTGGCAAGGGTATACACCATGTCACTATAAATTGTCCACAAATAAAAATCATTCTTGCCTGTAATTCTTGTCTGCAATTTTAACTACATTAGCAAAGTAAGAATATAATCAAGAAAAGAATATAACATGACAAATGCATTAGCTTTACTCAACAAAAGCTCCTTTAGTTTAAACAACAGAGGAATTTTTTCTACATAGGTTACACAGACCCACCAGCCCTATAAAATCTAGGTCAATATACAACTTGGGTTGTTAGTGTTGGTTGTTAGTGTTGTTAGTCTCCTTCGCTATTCTTCTCCAGTAATATTATATCTTACAAGCAATGGTAGTGTTCTATGCTATCATTGTCTCAGTTTTATCATTAGCTCATGCTGTGTTTTTTACACTTGAAGAAAGGCCTCTGAGCCCATAATTTCTTTCCTCATTCTAGTAAACTGTATTTTGAACCAATTGACCTGCAAGTACAAACAAACCAAACCTTTTTATGAAAGTAGAAACATGTTAAATAATTCCTCTACATTTTCTTCCTCTAGTCTCCTTCCTGATTCTACTGTGAAAATGTATAACATTAGGTTATGATGCAAATGAGTGCTTTCTTTCTTTAACACTAAAGCACCTTGGAGAAGTTTCTGCACTTTAAAAATTATTATTTTGTGGCATTTTCAGTATTACTTACTATTATTAAGTGGCTTTTCATTAGTTAAATTTCCTTAGCATCAATTTTCAACATGATGCCAAGACCTTCTCACATCAGTGGCCAAGGTGATTCAAACCAAAACATCAGATTACTGAGTGGTGCATTAAAGCACATACAACTAATCAATTCCCAATTGGACATGAATTATATTCTAAAAGTATAACTTTTCCATCAGATCCCTAAATAGTTATCAATTACAGCTAACTATAATAATGATACATTTCTAGTCCAAGTGATCTTGGAAATGGTGGGAATACAGCACCAAATACAGCCTACTTAGAAATAAGCTTAGCAATCCTGAATAGGATTGCAGCTTGATGTACTAAGTTCGAATGCACACTAAACCCCCAACTAAACAAACAAAAAAACCGAGAAAGAATACTATCCTGAGACTGAATGGCTGTACAGACAAATTCTTTTGTTCTACCAAAGAAAGAAAAGTACTTGCCACCTTTTAATGAAATATTTCTGTCCATCAGTAGATACTGTAGTGGCCCTTTCGTGCTCCCACAGATATTAAAAGATCACTTAAGAACGCTTATATCCACTGCTCTCTTTTTTTTCCAAGCTGATATTACTCAAAGGTCTATGACTCTGCATCAATAACAGGATGACAACGTAAGTACTCAAAATCCACGGCAATGATTCATAAATTCACTTTCAGAGAGCCATGTCATAACATTTAAATTCAAGCTGAATTGAAGCCTTAAAAATCTGAACACTAATTCTTCAGAAAGCAAAACAAAAGAATAATTCACAAATCTGTGCCTGTAGCACAGTATGCCATATAGTCTACTATATATGCAGTTTTGAAAAGTAATCAGAGTTGGCTTACTACTTCACCCACTGAAATAAGAGGTAAAACACTTTTCAATTTCAATAAAAGCTGAATTACTCTGCTGCAGAGATCAGTTTAAAGAATTGTAATAAATCCAGCTCAGGAGATGCTTTCACAAAAGTAGTTATCAGACACTGGCACTATGCATATAGGGTAGCAAGCACTATCCCAAACCAAAGGACAAGACTGAAAGACAATGCACCAAAGAGTCCTTCCTTCTTATTCTTTGACTGGAGACACCTCACCTCTTCAACAGCTACCAGGCAACACAGAAAGCAAAACATGAACCATAACCCCCATCTTTGGGACTGTGCACTCCAAGACTGTGCCTTCCCTTATCCCTATCACGATGAGGGACAGCCAAGCCTTTCAACATGTTCTCCCCCACAATTTCCTTGGCACAATTCCAGGAAAAAATTTACTTACTATCAAGTCTGAGTAATCACAAGGCCACCCAAAGGCTACCTACATTTAAGATCTGTTCTTCCCTGCCAGCCTTTCCCTTTTTGCATGGCCATGGTATTTGGAGCATCACCTGCCAGTGGCACCATGATGAAACACTCAGAAGCCACTCCCTACCCTGACATCCCACTCCTGATGAGTCAGTGTGGGTGGAAAGGAGTGTGATGGAGAGGGGAAGGGACAGGCACAAAAAGCTAGAGGGATGCTTCACCTCAGCCTCACTGACTCCTGAGGTTTTTGTGTCTCACAGCTGTTTGTGAGAAGGACACACTCTAACACAGTAGTAAGCCATCAACATAACAACTCATTTTCTAAATAGAGCACAAATGCATAGGAAGTGCTGGTGTTACAGTTTTTGTAGTTATCTGGATTTAGTTCACAGACCAAAGTGGTCTGTGGTGATTTATGGTAATAAATTCTCCTTGGAAAAGAAAACCACACAGAGATTTAATCAGGAAATAACAACCAAGAACTTGAAATTAGTCTTGGAAAAACAGGTACATTAAGAATCCCAGTTGCAATAAAGGAAGACAATGTGCTTTCAAAACTGAAAATAAAAAATAAACTTTTCGCTCAATTTATAGAGAATCTCTTCCCCTCCATGTCTGCCAGCATCACAGAACTCATGCACTATTGAGAATAATAAATATCTCACATTTGCATCCACTGTTTTGGTAATTTGTATCTATGTCTTGACATTTATATTCTTGGACACAGGGCTTTACTCCAAACTGCAATACTCTGATAATATCACATTCTTCTAGGGCCCAGGTGGTCAACCAAGGAAAAACAGAAAAGGGTCACACAATCTCAAAGTTTCTAGTTCTCAAGGATTGTTATGCCCTCTTGATACAGCACGAACAAGCAAGGCAAATGATAGCTAAAGGAGGTCCTCCACAGCACTTGAGACAACCAGCCCGCAAACATGATTGAGTTTCTCAGAGTTAGTACAATGAAATCTACTAATTACTTATTACTTGCATCACTATAATTCCTAGGAAGATTAGTCACAGAAAGGAATGCCTTTGTATGAGGGACTGTATAAACACAGAGGAGAGCACAATCACTGATACTGCTGCAACTGCCATCAAAAGGACAGCCGTTATCAGTGGACAGGATGATGTATATTCTAGTGTAGCTAGGACCGAACATTTTTACCATACTGCCAGAGAAACCTTCTCAAGTTTATTTGTTAATTAAGATCTCCTCAGATTCCTCTCTATTAGGACCTTAAGCATCAGAGCTGTGCTATTGCAAGTGGTTGCTGTAACAGAACAGCAGCTTTTCAGGAGTTAGGGCTAGCTACAAACTTCAGACAAGCTGCTTGAAAAAAACCCAATACAAATCTGGCAGCACTGACTACCAGAGTCTGAGGCACACTTTCTTACATGCTGTCTGTCAATCGCGACAGCATCCCTGCCCAGTAGCAAAAGGCTCCTGCAAACCCTGATCCATGGCACCTTTTACTCACAATGCTACCCTGTTCTCCTCGCTTATAATAACTTCGGACTTTACAGGAGTGCAGCCACAATTGCTAACACTGCAGTGTCGGCAATGATGAGCGCTTCAGTGCATGCAGGACATGAGAAAACACCAACAGTGTCTCCATGCGAGCTGGCGGCAATGCGAAGGCAGAGGCACGGAGGCACGGACACCTGCCCTGCTCCGGTGCCCTCGCTGTGACCGCCACTCGCGGGGCAGTGCGGGCGGCCACCACACGCTGCCCGGCCAACGGCCCGGCGGCACCCACAGCCACCCTTATCGCAACCACGGCTCACCCCGAGACCTCGCAGCTAAAGCATGAGCAGCTTCAACCGGGGCCAAAAGCGAACCAGAGAAAGAGAACACAGCTGAAAGCCATGACTTTCAAGTCTATTAAGTTTAAGAGGCTGGAGTTGCTAGCAACATACAGACCAGCAGATGAACATAGCTGTCACCTCACCAAGCACTACACGTCTGGTTTCGTGCCAACGGGGCCTCTGCCTGAATGACGGGAAGACCCGGGCGGGACACTCCTCGGCATCGGGGCCACGGACCTCGGTGGGGCAGCCCCGCATCCCTCTGGCCGGCACTCCCGGCCGACCTCGGCTTCCCGCCCGCACCGCTCCCGCCCCCCTTCACCGCTCCGCTCCGCTCCC